GTCGGGTTTCCCACCCTGCGAGAGGGGAGACATAGAGGGATCCCCATTTTCCGGTCCGTAGGACCGCCCCTCCAACGTGCGCGGGACGTCGGCAGCAGCCGCAGGAGCAACGTCTTTGGGCTTGGATTTGGTAGGCCTGCTCGATTCGGTTGAAAAGGCATAGGGTGGGTTCGCCTTCCATGTTAGTGCGTGAACATGGCTGAAAATTGCCCACAACCAAATGGAAACCCTTACAAACTTCAAACGCACGGTTTTCCCCGCCGTAACAAAACAATGGGGAGACAGCCCCCCGGTCAGCAGCATATTCGAAACGATGGTCGCGCTCCATGGCATTCGTCAGACCCGTCACGATCGTGTGGGACACCCCAACATGTAACGTCCCATTGTCGCAAGCACGTAAGCGGGGGAATGCCGTTAGGAGCCCTATGTGATGGTGGTCCCATCGGTAATTTCAGACGGTTGCGGCATGATGAAATGGATAATACCAGAGATTCGTCGCATCTTGAGAATCTGCTTCAGTGGGTAGATAGTCAGTGCTTCATGGACCCATGCACCGTGATAATAAATCTAAGAAAAGCAAGGGAGAGAAACAAGAAACAATCGGCCTCTGTGAGGGGTGGGCAACACGCCCACCCGAAGCAGGAAGCATCGGTATACGCGATGAAGTTACGGGTTGATTTGCCGTCAACCACACCAGTACCACCGCCGCCTGGGCCAATGGTATCTGTCGTTCAAGCGAACGATTGCATTCCGCCTTTCCCTACGACGGCGGGAAATCCTTTCGGTAGAAGCGTTCAAGTGTTGCCAAAACTTGTTTCGAAAACAAGTAAAGTGCACCCGCAGGAACGCTTGGAAGAAAACGCATCTCTCGGGGCATGTCACGTTTCAAGCAGCTGCACATACCTTAGGCTTGAAACAGCTGAGTTCCCGCAGGGTGATGCAGAGGAGCCGTCCGAAGGCGATGTCACCGGCATCCAGTACGCGTCTGCTACGAGCCTCGCCGACATATTTCCCTTTTCGTGCCGGGGGAGGAGCACCTGCCATTCCCAAGTGAATGCAAAAGCAACAACGAGCGAATGTATCTTTCAGCCTGGTTTGGTTTGAGTATTGGACTGGACGGCAACCGGGGTAGTAGTATCGTGTCCCTCCTCGTGTTCGAATTTTGCAGGGGAGCCTATGACATGGGACAGAACACCCCCGGCTGTGATGAAATCGTCGAATTGAGAGCAAATCGGGGCTTGTTTCATATCTATGCAGAAACGTTTTAACTGTCCTGCCGTTTTCCATCGTGACAATGTCGGGAGTAGGCACTCGAAACTTCGTCCGTTCCCTGACCTCCGATAGCTTCTTGTGTGTACCATCCACATGCACATGAAGAGAATGAGACAAACAATCTGAATGATTCACGTTTACCAACTACACCAACACCATCAACAGCAGCAGAGCGCAGCAACAGCAACAGCAGCGGCGGCAGCAATAGGAACAACCATGGCAACAACAACACCAGGAATGAGGTCACCTTGAAAGTTCCGTCAGACCTAGGCTCCACCACGCCCTGCCTTGGCTGCACCACGAAGGGACTTTGGAAAGGCTTGGGCGGACGATAGCTCACGGAAACGTCAGCCAACCATCCACCTCCATCGGCACTAGGTACGATCTGGACATTTCGTGCACGTTTTTGTCACAGGGATATCGGTGAACGCGACCGGTATCTGAGATAGTCTAATCGGGTCGAGTGTAAGCTAGTGCTTACTTGTCAGGACTTCAAACATGCATCCAATGCAGTGGCGTGAGGAAAGCACACCACCGAATCTGCTTCACGGTCCCGCAAGACAGAAGGAAGCTATCAAACACCAGCCATTGTTGTACGTTTCGAGAATAACTCTACGCTAGAGGGCCTGACGCCCGTCCCCCTCCAGAGATATGCCCAATAGACGACAACAACGGCGTCGGGAGGCTACAAGATGGGCGCCGGCACTGGCTGCGCTCGAAGGTCAAACACCGGACCAACTTTGCAGAGCGGCGACTGGTCGGTGTGTTGCGTAACATCATGTAGAAGTCGAGACCTTCGTTGTTGATTAACACACCTTGAGGAACACGTCGACCGTTCTCGCGGCTTCCTTGGCGTCGATGTTGGCGTCCTGCATACCCCACGTTAGCATCGCCGGCAATGTTCCCTCATTCTTGACCTGAAGACCATCGACAGCGACATGAAATGGGGAATAAGGTCTGCTTTCTGCAGCATGCCGTTGTGTTCCAAACGGAGCAACTGTAATGTCTACGTCTCCTGTATTTATCGGGAAATTTTCGCCATCCATGTGTCCGCATGTAAGACGTAGTTTCTGCCGACATCATTGGTGGGAGATGGTGTTGAGCGGAGCTGCGCAGAAGGCAGGGTGGCATAGGGCAAAACGCGCATGAAAGAAGATGTAACCAACGGCAACAGCAACGACGACAACGATGGCGGCGACGAACACAATGACCAAGGCAACGACAGCAACAACAACAACAACAATAACAACGACATCGACACCGACAACAGCAACAACGACATCGAAAATAAAACCAACAACATTAATGGCGACGACGGCGACGAAGACGGCGACAATACCGACAAGAAGGTTTGCAGTACATCTGCCAGACAGCTGGATTACATAACACGCTCATGAGCGGCTTCGTGCCTTGCTCACCTTGATGATCCGGAACGTCTTCCCTCCGTGCACGAACACCTCCCCGAAGTTCAGCAAGGGTTCTGGCCCCGACATGTCCAGTCCCAGTGCCTCCCTCTTAAGCGACAATGGGGATCCCTCCACAACGACTTTCATCGGCAAAGACGCTGTTGGTGCACCTTGCAATTGCCGAAGCCATCGGAATGTGAGATGTGCAGAATAGCGCCGGGTTGGCCAGGTCTGTTTCCCGGTGTTCTTGCTACTAGCACCAGCAGGCTAAGCACCAACCGCACCACCACCGGCATCAGCACTTCTCCCTTGTGGAATACAGTCTGTTATGAATGGCATATCATAAACCAATCCTTGATCGTCGCACGCAAGAGGGACACTGTCGGTGCAAGTAAATATCTGTCAGGGACCAACATACTCAAATTGCAACGGGTAACGGGTTCGTAGCTCAGGTGACGCCAAACGTACGCACACACGCATCGACTATGAGAATGGGCTCACCCGTAAAGGTGAAGTCCATTTTGTCCGTGTATCTCCCGGGGGTGTCGTTGAACACCGTCACCGCTACCGTAGCCACGCCCCACGGCGCAAGGGTCCCAGACGAAGGCTCCACGAGGAAGGCCACCCCGAGGCCCTCTTTCAGCACGAAGCAGTCTTCTCTCTGATCGATCTGAGCCTTGGTCCTAGCCCGACCCCCCGCAGAGAAAAACGCTTCCGTTGCTTCGTGCTCCGTTCCTGTTGGTTGGTGGTTGAGAAAGTGCGATCCTGGAGGTTCAAGAGTTGCGATTTCTCTTTAGAAAACCTGCATTCATGATACAGTAGTGTCTGCGATTATGGAAACCTCGCGGGTCTAGAGCCATGGAAGCGGCATTGTCTTCCGAAAGATCAGTCTAGCCCTTGGTGCTTGCCCGGGTCACGTCAGACTTGCACTGCCTGCGTGCCGATAGTTCTACCGAAAAAAACAGCGATTGCCGAACATTCCACATCCTTCTTGGTAAATGAAGATTCGGCGAGATGCTGCTGCAAAGTGGACTGTTGTAGCTGGCACGAACACGATGCATGGTGGCGGATATTCGACTTGGGTGATGCTCGTCGCTCGACTACCATGTGCTGCGTAGCGTCGATCTTCAGGTCCCTCTTCAAACAAATGAAGCGCCGAACACCTCTAGACTTTACTACTTGGTGTAGAAGGCTCGACGTGCTGTACGTTCATTTCAAACCCACGCTTCAGCACGAAGTTTATTTCGACGAAGAGCGCGCCACCGTCGAGGTTTGGATCGTCCAACTGGAAATCCGAAATGAACCACGGCCTTCGACGAGAGCATAACCTCAAGCACCTCTTCAGACAACTCGACCGAAATAGAATATCTACTCGTGGAGTGCTTCACCGCGCATTCAAACACAGAATGGTTTGTAGAGAACACAATGATGTGTCCGTTGTGTCCGTACGGAACTACGTGACAGGGTGATCGGGGTGAAGATGTTTAGCCGAGTGCAACCCCGTTCGATTCTAATGAAAACCGCTTTTGTTTTTCCCGGGGAGTTACTACATGTCTTCACAGTCTTTTGAATTTAACCTTGTCGTGGTCAGTGGCATCGATTTCCATACTGTAATCCAAGGAACCCTTCGCAAGGTTCCCCTTGATTTCGATTCTCTTGGCCACCGTCTTCACACATGGAGTTGCGGGAGCTGGCAAACAGCATTATCTCCTCCGAGACTAAGAAACAAGCAGCCAAATGTCAAATCATTTGTCGAGTCTAACACTCGGTTGCCACTGTCGTCACCAAAACCGCCAGTCGCTGAGTGCGTGGTACATTTGCAGACGAAAGATAATACCCATCTGCAGCATTGTTAGCGTATCCATCTGTGGCTGGCACTCTTGGCTCTCCTCTCTCATGTCTAACTGCGTCAAATCGTGAAATATTTGTGTAGTTCCAGGTGAAACATGACTCAAAGGGTAGTCCGATCATCATTCCCGGACGTGAAGACCATTTCGTGGTTCGCGGATCATGCGGACCATGAAGAATACTCACGCTCCTTGTCGTCGTACCTAGCACCAGCTTCGATTTCCTCTTCTTCTTGGTACCGAAGGAAGGATACGCATATGTTTCCACGTTCACGGTCTGGTCTCGAGAGTGTTTTTTTCCGTTGCCTAAGGGTCTGGACCGGGACTGGAACCGACCGTTTCCCGGTCCTGAAAACCCGCCTCGATTTCCTGCGCGCACACACATGGCGCCGCGATTTCAAAATTCGGAAGACCCCAACACGTATGCCACGGATGCACAAGCTGATTTTTAATCGTCAGACCTGGTGGTTGCTTTCTAAAAGGAGAACGAGTTCAGCCCCCCGTCTTCAACGGTGATATTTCCCACTGCAGTACCCCTCATTCCTGCATTGTCTGCTGCTACTGCTGTTGTTCCTGGAGTGTTCCTACCCTCTTCTCCGTCCGGCTCGTCGTCGTCGTCGTCGGCGGCGGCGGCGGCGGCATCGTCGTCCACGTACGCTTCGAGGGCTCTCGGGTTGGAGACCACCCTCTGCAGCGCCGAGTAGCTCATGTTGGAGATCTTGAGCCTCGGCGGGCAGGGCGTGCAGCTGTACTTGCGGACCTTTACGGAGAACGGGGTCGAGATCGCCGACAGGTTCCGCACGAACACCGTCAGGGTCTTCCGTCCCCGGAGGTCAACCTTCCCGAACTGCCGTCCAACAAGGGGAATCGGGAGTTTGGTTTTCGACGGGCGTCAGACGTGTTTCAGTTGTCCAAGAAACACTCGCGCGCGCGCGGGCGAGCACCAACGGCTACGCGTTTGGTTGATCCATCCCAGCGAGTTTCATTTGTCCGTCGGTGGCATGTCGGGTGGTCTGTGTTCGTTGGGCCAGTCGAAACTGTTGCTGGTGTCGTAGAAACTGTTTCTGTTGATCGAAAACATAAACAAATGTGGGATACGTCCGGTGCTACGTCTCTCCTACTCTTGAGAGGGCAAACGAGAGAGCTACCGCGGCCACAAGCTATATCCGAACGAGGACAACACCAAGAGCATCCTGAACAACAGTATGGAACATGTCACATTGCTCAGTTCGCCCGGAAGCTGAGTACCAAAAGGCAAGAACAACAAGTGACCATATGGACCGATCGCCCCGGTGGTCTAGTGGGTATCCTCGGAGCCTATTAGGGACCAGGTCATGGGTTGAAGTCCCGGCATAGAGAATTTTTTCTCTCTAAATAAATCCTGGTCTAAGTTGGAACCGTCGCGCTGCACAGCTCGTTGTTCGTAAACTGGTCGGCTTCATTGTCGACATCGACTTTGCCGTCGCGAGAAAAGGGATTGCTGCACCCTTCTCGCGAGAAAAATATCTCAGGCAGGAACCGCAGGAGGGGGTCCAGCCCCCCCGTCCCATGTGACCCCGGTTGGGTCGTCTAGCTAGTAGACGAGGAGGATGCGAGCCAGAGGGGCATACGACAGAGTCCAATAATGGGAGAAAAAAAAAAAAATCCCATGTCGAAGGTCCAAATGATGCTCCAAATCAAGCATTGTTGGAGAAGTGCTGTACGGTATAGCGCTCTCACGGCCGCAATTCAAGCAAGAGTATCGGTTTTTGGTGCGTACCCCCGTTAACCTGTCTGCGCGTGCGTGGTATGTCCACTAGTTGAGTGGGTGCGCGCGCAATAAAACGTTGTACTGCTGTACCTCCAGGGAGGGCGCGGGTTCCGCCTCCGGCAGAGGCTCCTCCCCCACATACTGCGGGAGATGCGGCCGCTGGAGCGGTTTCGGAGGGCGCCCGCCGGCCTCCACCAGCCCGAAGCTCAGGGTAGGGCCTCTGTTCTTGGCGGAGATGGCGAAGCCGAGCGGGACGGCCATGCCGAAGACTCGGCACGCGTACACCTCTTCGACCGGTCCAGATTGTCTCGCGGTGTAGCGCAGCTCCACCTCCCGCACCTGAAGTTGTCGTTGTCGTTGTCGAGGGCGTGGGGTCATTAGAGTCTTAGAAACGCGTTTCTGTCTGCCTACGTCAGCGCGCTAGGACCATCGCACCGAAGCGGGATACCGTCATTAATGTTGAGGACACGCTAATTGCGCGGTGAACTGGATCTCCCCTCGTTGGTAGCGATGGTCGCTACCATCGACACCAAAGAACCAAGTGCCCGGAAACACGCGGTAGCACTGGAAAAGAGTTCCCCAAGCGCCAAGACGCGTTTCGTACACCAGTACACTAAAACCGTTGTAGCTCTGGTCTTTCTTGCGTCCTTCAGTTCAAAGTCATTCACGTGCTACAAAGCTCCGACTGGAAAGTGTCGAAAAGTGTGTGGTGCGCACCAAGCGTCCCTCCAGCACTCCGAACGGGGTAGTCAGTGCATGTCGGCACGTTCGCATCACTCCATGCTCACCGAATTCCACACTGTTCTGCGTTCTACGACAACGCAAGATCGGACGACGCATTGCCTCATGCCAATGGATATGGTCCGAGTGGGTAAGGCTAATCGTGCAAGACAAGCGGAAAATCACACTTGCCTCCTTTCCCCGGAGAACACCGTTTGGTTGGTCCAAGTTGAGGTCAAACGATACCGCTGCACCGCCAGGCCGTTCCCACCTGTATTTCGCCTTACGCACAAAAGAACACAAATATTCCCAGCAGTTGAGCGACGATCGTCAAGTTGTGTGTAGGCCTTGTTGTGGGTTTTAACGAAATTCTTCACATCAAAACTCTATTGACGTAATATTCGTATATTCCGGTACTCAAATTTCACAATGCATTCTAATGATGAAGTTGTTCTTGTGAGTGGTGTTTTCCCTCCCAAACACAGCTTTGGGTTGATGGGCAGGTCGACCAATGGCGGACAAGTGTCAGCCTGGTTTGGGTAGACTCGAATGGAATTCGTCGTCAATCGGCAACCACAGTTGCTCGCTGTTGGTTTCCCGTCGTGCACGAAGTCAGGATCTGGTGTTCGTCGTTGAGATGTTTGCCATTGAGACGCTCTCGTGATCTGTTCCCACACCCACCCCAAATAGCCCCAGCTACCAATGTTCTCCCTAGCTCCCGCAAGTCCCGACAACAATTCACCTCCAAATTGCTGAGGTTCACCATCTTCACCCGGCGAGTTAGAGGCACCCCTAGGTATGCCGTCTCCAACTTAACCGCGGCCGTGCTGATGTACACCGTCGGCTCCTGGATCTCTGCTCGGACGGCGACGTACTCGCTTCCGAAGGAGACGCCCCGGCCGTCGCGGCTCTGGAACAGAGCTCTGGCGGCGGTCCTGAATCTCTCGGGTAGCCTTCCTGCCTCGCAGGTTACCTACAAGTTGAATTTTTCATACACGTTCACTCTCGCTTCACTTGGTTCGTTAAAACGCGGCTATTATTGGTTGTGAAGTGCGTGCAGCGGCGACCAGCAGATAGTTGCTTCAAAGCAGGCGGAGCTCAGCCAACTTATTGCTGTTGCTTCGTTTGTCGGCCTCCCTTCCGCACGTGCCGCGTTGTGCACGAGAGCACAGAACAATCAGATGTGCGTAGTATTTCGGCACAAAAATTCAAGCATGGTAGCAGGTACATGTACAAGGTTTTGTGAGGGGACAAGCTTGGCCGGACTACAACAACAGAGGAGTTATCTATGTGCCTCCTTTTGCCTTCACGTTGCTTTTGACTCCTTCAACCTTGGGGATTGTCACCTCGTGTTTCAGTTGAAGGAATAGACTACATGACTTTGAACAAAGCTGATTTTGACCGATCGATTCCAACAACGCACGACGTATTTTCGACAAGGACTCCAAATGCATTCAACATGGGTTATGTGTTGCCGACCCCTCCCCCGCCCGGGGATGTTGCACCAAGGAGTGGGCCCCCTTGGGACCTGCTTCCCCTTAAGTTATTCATCTGCACAAAAGCAGGAGTTTTCATGCCTGCTCGCGATTTTTCAAAACACAACAAATAAGGTTCCCATCAACACGCCCTGTGTCCCGACGAGCTGGAGGTGCCCACTCGAGGAGCGAACGAATCCCGCGGCCACCTAACACGCAGCAACGCCCACGTACCGTGATTTTCATCGATCGTCCGGGGGCTAGATCGCCGAACGCAGGATCGAAGCCCAGCCGGCAGCCGTCCCCGGAGACCGAGAACGAATCGGCACTTCCGACGGACTGTTCCGAGTTCCTCCGCACGAGCGAGCCTTGACTGCGGGCCTTTTCCATCGGGTTAGCGTTTGGGGCCGTCGGTGTGCTGTTGTTTCCTGTTGCTAACGCTGGTGGTGGCGGAGATGTGCCGAATACTTGTGACAGCGCTCTGTCGTTCCCGTGGTCGGTGTTTCCGCCGCCGACATCGCCGCCCCCTGGGTGACCTTGGTGACTGTGGGGTTGTTGTTGTTGTTGTTGTTGTTGTTGTTGATGATGATGATGATTATGTTGATTATGCAGCTGCTGCTGCCTCTGCAGCTTCTTCTGCCGATGTGATTGCTGCGGTTGCAGCTGCTGGTGGTATTTTCTCTGTTGCTCTTCCTGCTGCTGCTGCTGCTGCTCCTGCTTGGATACTATCAGATCTCTCAGCTTTCGAACCGTCTTTAATTCCGCCGCCGCCGTCGCTGCCGACGTGACCCCTTTTGTTTCAGCTGCTTGAACCATCGCAAACGAGAGCGGAACGGTCCCCACGTTCCTCAGCGTTACCGCTCCCGACTGCGCGGTGCCGACGGCGATCAGACCCAGATCTACCTGCCGTACACGGAAGCAAGATATAGCGATATTTCATATTGCCGGAGATCATCTTGGACATGGTTTCAGTAACCAGGATCAGTTTTCGGATCACGTGGAGTCAAGTATTCGTATGGATGGGGTGGGGGCAATAATCGCGACCGATGTTTACAGCGTGAAAAGGGCTACGTACGTTTAGCGGAACATATGGCTACCGTTCTGTGAGTGCCATAAGCCCTCCGCGAACCTGGGTTTCAGCAGTGAAGGGGGCGCCTCTGAAATATCTGTTGGCATTTCCATTTTTCGCTCATGCAATTTTCGCTTGCCAGCGTTGCCAACGGTCTACAGGGCACACACAAGAATCTGCATCTTGACACAGGGTCAAGGCCAATACCGAGGCCTTTTTACTACTATGGGTTCCCTTCGAAGTTTCGCAGTCCTGAATCGAACTCTGTTCGCCGGATGTGTTTGTAGGCCACGCCGATGAGAACTAATTCGGGGAAGAGTCTGCCCCCAGAATGGTCAAAATCTTTTTCACACTCCTTCCAAATCACTCGTTTTGTGGTTCGCAAGTTGTTGTTGGGATATCCCATGGGACGTCGCCGGACCAAGATGCGGATTAAGCTAGATACCACGGTCCGGGACTTGGGCAGAACTGCCGTGGCGCTTGGTCCAATGGGACAACGCCAAAAAAGTGCTCTGTGACTGGCAGCCATGGCCCACAACTTCGCACACTTTCAACAAAAGCCATCTAGGCACCGGATTCAAACAGCTGACGGAAGTCGGCACCCAACGAGACTTCGACGAACGCAGCTGCCGCCCTGGCTGTCCGTAGCGACCAGTACTCACAGATCACACCGCACCTCTGCTGCCTCGACACGAGCCGTACCCCCGCTGCCGACGAACCCGAGCCGCAGGCGCAGTTCTTCCCCTAGCTCTGCAGGAGCCGCCGTCGGGGCGACTATCGGGACGCTGACCACGCGAGAGCCCACGCAATACGGCGTAATGGTTGCCTGTCGACCGAGGGTGGCGGTACAAGACAGGGTGGGTAACCGAGCGCCGGGTGTGCGTGTGCGAGGTATCGATATGGAAGAAGTATTCGGGAACTTCTCGAAATAAGCACACCGCGGCAAAGCCCAAGAAATGCTGTGTTCGTTTGCCCGTAGCACCCCGGAACTTTGCATGCCCAAGAACAGCCTAATAGACGCATGATACATTCTGTCCTTGCGTTAATTAAATGGAACTTCGAAACAAGCACATAGTCTCCGAACCATTACGCATGAGCCAGATCCCTCATGGGTCCAGCCAAGGCGCACAAGGTCGCCTCATGTACAGCCCATCTACCTCCACACCAAGTTCAAAAACGAACCCTGGAGAAGCTCGAAACACGGCCTTTGTATGGGAAGGCTGGCTCGAATGACGACCCGTCACATTGTACGCTGGTGCGTTCCTTTTTACTCTGGCAAGTAAAAGTTCCACCTACAACCGCTTCCCTTATTGCCTAAACAAGCCGATCCTTTATTGGTGATGTAGCGGCAGTGTGTATCGGTTGAACTGCTGCTGTAGATCATCTGATTGGATGGTTTGAATATCAGAACTGTCTGTCTGTGTAGTTCCAGAGAAAGTTCCTTGTGGAAGTTATACTGTTCGGAGTTGGATCAGCAGATAGTCAGTAGGGTGCACGTTAGGTGCACGTTAGGTGCACGTTGTGTGGACGTTGCATGGATGTGGCACGTGGGATGATTACCCTCAACAGGAATTGTTCTAGTTCGGTTGTAGGGATCGGAACATTACGTTGTTGGAACGTTGCGAGTAGTATATTGTTCCGATAGTGTTTGTGTTGGCGTGTTGATCGTTGGCTGGGGTGCTGGGAGCACACGAGCTAGCCCCCACACGCTGTCACTCCACTTTGCCTACCTGTCTCAGAGGGCAGTTTCTCAATAATACAACATCTTTCTCCAAGAGCCAAGGGTTTACCAACACGCTATAGCGTAGGTGTCTACTGCTCCGTCGTCCCCTAGGACTGCACTAGACTGCTGTACGAGAAAGGCCTGATCAACCTGTCTCATCATGGCTGAACCGGGGACACCTGCGGGTGGCCAAAGTCAGGGTAATCCGCAGGATGTTGGTGAGAGGATGGGTTCCCTAGAGACGCAGTTGTCCCAACTTACGACTCTAGTCACGTCGCTTGTTGATCAACAGAAGGAGCAAGTGGAGTCCTCTGTGTCGGCTGCCGCGCCGGGAGGCGGCGGAACAGAGTATGCTGGTGGTACGCATTCTTCCGATGATGCTACCGGCAGGACCGCGGGAGGCACGGGCGGCGATGCCCAAGGCCTTGGCGTGTCCAGCATGGGGGTTGGGAGTAGTAGCCTTGTTGGCTCAGGCTTGAACCCTGATGTATTCGCTGTTAATCGTTCCTCTGCTGGTGCTGCAAGCTTTGGTTCGATTGGAATTGGAAGTGGGGCTGCTGTAGGCCAGTCTTCTTTCGTTTCCGGGACTGTAGGTGGGGCTTTTCGTAGCCAGTCCTCTGTTCCTCCCGCACCTACTCCGTCGAGCAGGTGGTGGGAAAGTGTCGCCAGTGGAAACACACTGATTCCTGGGGCTGGCACTGATGCAGGAGAGAAATTGGGTGGGGGTCCTTTTAAAGTTCCCAAGGCTCCTGTTTTTGACGGGACAGATATGTCGTACCCCTCATGGTCGCAGAACTTTCTGCTGAGTGCCCGGCACCACAATCTGATTGAAGCGTTTGTTTCTGAGACTGAAATCCCGATTGCTGACATTAGTTTTGATTTGACCCCCTGGGTCGAGAAAGGCTTCAGTGTGGGTGTGCTTCGCCAGGCTGAAATGGGCTGGTGGTTTCTTTTCGACTGTTTAAAGAAAGATAGTCTGAAAACAATGGTTCGTCACGCTGGTTCCTCCAGCAAGGGTTTCCGAGTACTGAAAGATCATTTTCTGCCGTTGAGTCAGAGCCAGATTCGCGTTCAAGAAGAGAGACTAAAGTCACTGCGCATGCGTTCAAACGAAAATCCCGCAATCTTCTTCACGTCTATTCGTGAAACGCTTGGTGTGCTGCAAATGCTTGAAGTCAAGAAGGATGACAGGGAGATCTGTAGCCTGATGCTCGAGGGACTTTCTGTTGAGTACCAGACTCTTCGTGAAACTCTGGTGGTATTTTGCTCGAATGACCCGTCGTTCATAGAGACTAAATGCTGCGTTGGCTGGAAAAATCTCGTAGAGCTAATCCTCTTTACGATTTTGAATCGTTGTGCGGTGAAGCGGCAGATACGTGTCGGGATTGGGTCGGCAGTGATCGTGTTATCCGTGATTCTCTTCGTGAATACTCTACTCTTACCAAGAAGGTTGGGTGCATCGAGGATTGGTATGCGGACACGGGTACTGCTTTCCACATGACAGACTCGCTCGCCTGCATGAAGGACGTGAAACCTTGTCACAAGAACGTAAAAGGGATTGGTGGTGTGACTTGTGAGGTAGCCCTTTCAGGAACCCTAGAATTGGTGTTCGTGTCTGTTGACAACGAGTTTTTGGTAGAGTTGGAGGATGTGCTGTACGTTCCCAATTTGGGATACAACCTTTTCTCCCCCAGCGCAGAATTTGATGGAGAGTCATGGAATGATCTTGGTGGTCCTCGTGGTGTGATGACTGCTTTTCAAGGACATGTGACTTTTGAAAATATCGATGGCATGCTTGTCGCGACTGCGTATCGTCTGGGAAATGACTCTATTGGAACGGTGTTGGCTGCCCTCACTCCTTCAAACCCCAAGCACGAAACGAGTATGGATGTGAACGACTTTCATAACATTTATGCTCACGCACATGAAGGATTGCTTCGTACTACTGCAAAGCGATTGGGTACCGAGTTGACTGGTAGCCTGGATGCTTGTACGGGATGTTCGATGTCAAAGGCAATTAGAAAAGGGATTGCTCGTGAAACTAAACGTAGATCAGATAAAAAGTTAGGGAGAGTTTTTGTTGACCTGGGAGGGAAGAAGGCCGTTGTGTCTGTCGGGGGGAAGTATTACCCCATGATTGTGAAGGATGATTTCACAAGGCGTGCATGGATCTATTTTCTGAGAAATAAATCAGACGCTGCGAGTGCTTTCCGGAGTTTTCTTGCTAGTGTGCGTGCTGATGGAATCCCATCATTGGTTGAGACTGTTAGATCTGACAATGGAGGGGAGTTTTTCGGTGGAGAATTTGCATCTGTGTGCAATGAGCTCTTGATTAAGCAAGAGTTCACCCCAGCTCATAGTCCTCAATACAACGGTGTTGCAGAGCGTGGCTTGGGATTGATAGAGGAGGCCGCAATGGCGGCTCGTATTCAGGCGAAAGTTCTTTTTGGGCATGTGCAGTTACCTAAGACTGACAAACTCTGGGCTGAGGCGATGCACTGGGCTTGCGAGGCACTTAATCACACGGCTTGTTCTGCTAACCCCGACTCTAAATCGCCGTATGAAATGTGGTATGGGGAAGCCCGTCCTGCTAGACCTTATCCGTTTTTGAAACCGGCGTACTGCAAGTGGCAGCGACCGTCGAAACTTTTCCCGAAGGGTGAGAGTTGCTTTTATGTCGGTCCTTCGAGAGACCACCCGCGTGATTGTCATCGAGTACTTACGAGGGCTGGGACTATTCAGGAAACGAGGGATGTAACGTGGGAGGCCTTGCCGTCACAACTCCCTCCACCGCAACCTCCATTGCCGATAGAGATTGCGGAGGAGGGAGGGGAGGAAAGTGACAACGATGTAGAAACTGAGGTATGGCCGCTTGTAGGGAGGGGAGTTGCCCACACACTGTTGCGAAATAACGCGGCAGTGGTCCCCTCTGGTGAAGCAATTGATGTGGTTGAAAGTGTTGACGCAGGCAGTGTAGGTCGATCGCCGTCTCCCCCTTCTGTGCCATCTTCGCCCGTTCCCTCTGTGTCTTCTCCAGCACCTGAGTTCACCGATGGTGATGGGCAGGGAGGGCAAGATGTGGGGGAAATAGAGTCGATGGGTCCGGGAGATCAGGAAACAGATCCTGTAGGGCCGGGAGGGCAGGAGGTAGAGGCAGAGGCATCTCCTCCAGTTGCTCGTCGTCCGCGGCATGTAGCTGAGCTAGCTGATTTCAACAACCCTGCGCGTGAGAATGATGAAGTAAGAGAAGGTAGAACTCGCGCGCAAACCCGTGCAGTTAATCAGCAGAGCGTGCCAGGCCTCGTGGCCACCCTAGGGCCCGTCTTCGCAACAGAAATAATAAATTCATTGTTGGCGGAGCAGAGAGCAGGTGATGCAGTGGAATTGCCAAAAGAACTAGTTCAGGACGTAGAGTCTGAACCTGGTAGCTATCAGGAAGCCCGGCAATCGAAGCACGCCGCGATTTGGGATGGAGCTATGTCTGCAGAAGTTGAAGGCTTGATAAGGGCAGGAACTTTCACGTTAGCGGTAAAGATCCCAATAGGCTGTAACGTGATAGATGCTAGATGGGTGTTCAAATGGAAAGCAGACGAAACAGGGAAGATAGTGAAGGCCAAGGCTAGGCTTGTCGCGAAGGGCTTCAGGCAGAAGTATGGTGTAGACTATCTTGAGACTTTCTCGCCTACTGCAAATGCTGCATCAATTCGATTGTTGGTAGCATTGGCGTGCAAGTATGATTTGGAATTACTCCACTGGGATATTGAGCAAGCGTTTGTTCAGTCGAAGTTGGATCACGAGGTGTTCATGAAGTTGCCTCCTGGCTGTGGTTCGATGTCAGGAAAGGTTGTCCGTCTGAACAAGAGTTTGTACGGATTGAAACAGGCATCTAGGACATTTTACAAGAGGCTTGTGTCGGATCTGAAGAGGATTGGTTTCGAGCAGTCTCTGTCTGACCCCTGTGTGCTGCGTTTCATGATGGGAGACGAGGTATTGGGGATGGTCGCGATTCACGTGGATGACATTCTGTATGCAGGAACTAAGAGTCTTGCCAAGGTGGTCGTAGAGGCACTAGGCGATTCTCTTCCTACGAAGAATTTGGGAGAGGTCAAGTTCTTTCTTGGTTGCGCTTTTATTCGCGACCGCGAGGCTGGCACGATTGAGATTTCTCAGGAGAGTTACATAAGGAGTGTGCTTGAGAGATTCAAAATCTGTCGCACCAGCTCGATCCCTGCTTCCCCTGCTAATGATAACAGGTCCGTGATGGAGGATGAGGAGGCAGGAGATGTGCCGTTCCGAGAGGTGGTGGGGTGCCTGATGTGGGTCGCCAACGGGACAAGGCCCGACATCTCGAATGCCGTGCGGGCGGTGGCGAGGCACTCTCATGAGCCAAAGAAGAGAGACTGGAAGGCAGCTCAGAAGATTCTGAATTATCTTCTGGCAACGGCACATCTAACTCTGAAGTACAAGAGAGACAGTACGGTTGATGACGTAGGCACGTTGGTGTATGTAGATGCAGACTTTGCCAGCAAGGCCACTGACCGTAGATCAGTTTCGGGAGCACTAGTCATCGTAGCTGCTTGTCTTGTAGCTTGGCTTTCTTGGACGCAGAAATGTGTTTCACAGTCGACTTCTGAGGCAGAGTATCTTGCGATGGGCGATGGTGTGAAGGAGTCTCTGTTTGTGAACGGAATGCTTCAGTTCTTGAGGCCTAGTGTAGAGCCTCGTAAGATTGACGTCCTTGAGGACAACGAGGGAGCGATTGCGCTCGCAGAGAATCCGCTTAGCTCGTGCAGGAGTAAGCACATCGATGTGAGGCACCACTTTCTTAGGAATTTAACCGAGGAGGGTGTGATCGAGATCACCCATGTTCCCAGCGAAAAACAACATGCGGACATCCTCACGAAGGCTCTGCCGAGGAGTATTTTTGAAGTTCACCGTGACTTTGCGTTGGGCTCTAGGAAGTAGGAGTCTGAAGAAACGTTTTTGTTTGACAAACTACATGTTATGGGTCTGGTAAGATACAACAGCCCCTAGGGAGGGTATTGGTGATGTAGCGGCAGTGTGTATCGGTTGAACTGCTGCTGTAGATCATCTGATTGGATGGTTTGAATATCAGAACTGTCTGTCTGTGTAGTTCCAGAGAAAGTTCCTTGTGGAAGTTATACTGTTCGGAGTTGGATCAGCAGATAGTCAGTAGGGTGCACGTTAGGTGCACGTTAGGTGCACGTTGTGTGGACGTTGCATGGATGTGGCACGTGGGATGATTACCCTCAACAGGAATTGTTCTAGTTCGGTTGTAGGGATCGGAACATTACGTTGTTGGAACGTTGCGAGTAGTATATTGTTCCGATAGTGTTTGTGTTGGCGTGTTGATCGTTGGCTGGGGTGCTGGGAGCACACGAGCTAGCCCCCACACGCTGTCACTCCACTTTGCCTACCTGTCTCAGAGGGCAGTTTCTCAATAATACAACATCTTTCTCCAAGAGCCAAGGGTTTACCAACATCCTTATGGTATTCATTGGTGCATATTTTTGCATGCAAAAGAACATTGTTGGTCGTGTCAGCGGATGATGTTGTACCGACATCTTACTGAAAACGTCGGGTCACGCCCTCAGCTACGGAATAGCCCGCTGTCTCACCCTGCATTTGACACTCCCTCCCGCGGGCACGACCCCCTTCGCGGGGCTGATGTCCACGTCGCACCCGGTGCTCCAATTGTCGCCCTCGACACCCGGACTGGTGGTCGTGAATGCGTCGTTCCCCGACAGTGACACCGTCATGCCGGGCAGGTCGAACTCGAACTGGGCCGGGGAAGAAGACCCGTTGCAAACTTCGAAGTCCATGGCAAGTGGCTGCGAAGTAAGACCAACACAATGTGTGTCCGTTTACTCCAAACATTATGCAGGATTTTCAGGGAAATGATTTTTCTCTTACAGAGCCGAACGCCAAGAAGCTGGAACGCCCCAAAGCGTGGGGAAATGAAGGCCACACGCACCTTGATGGTCACCTACCATACGAGCGCAGCAGATATTTGCGCTTCCCAGTCGACACGAAGTTCCCTCGAGATGCAATAGAGATATGCGATTTTCGTATGTATGCGGTTGGAGGGTAACAACGGTATCGGGGGTGCGCTGCTCTACGAAGTTCCGCCGCCGTCGTTGTTGTCACGTCTTTGTCGAGCCAAGTGCTGCTGCAACTTGTTCCTCACACCAAGGTGGAACTAATCGTCGCTTTGGGATTTGTGGTCTACTGCAGGATCATGCAGGAAAGTGTATCGGATGGTTGCTACCCTCAGTTCTCCCAATCCTGGCGCGCATCTCGAAGGTACTCCTTTCGCAGAACAATTGAACATCAATTGCTGCTGATGTTCATACGGTACGCTTGTTGGTGGTGGTGCGAATCGCGCACGCTTGACGTCGCTGTTGCATTGGGTGCTAGTATCACCGTTCGTGGTGTTTCCCTCACGACGCGAATGGTCCTGGGCTCCGTCGAATACCTCTGTCTGAAATATACCTCCGCCTGCGCCCTACGCATACGCACCTGGCCGTAAGGAAGGTGATCACCCGGAGTCTGAAGCATTGCCGGCCGCAGAGACAGTCGCACCGGTTCCCCCGACCCTCGCAACTCCATCTAAGGTTTCCAAACGGAAAAGTGGTCAGAGGATGAAGAAGGTTACGAGTTTTGCCTGGCATCTCGAGTTCCTCGTTCGGTCCCGAAATAGGGTATTTCCTTGCATGCCAAAAACGCCATTCAGGAGTCACCCCCACAGCAACAGTCGTCACCATGACAGCAGCGTTCATTCCCCCCGTTTTCCTCTCATCACCTGAAAGCCTGGTAAATCTTTGCGGTGGCCTTCCACCAGCTCTTCCAAACCTTTCCCGCCGAGGGCGTGCGAGATCCGCGCTCGCAGCTCGGCCCCCACGGCCGCTAGGGCCTCTTTGACGCCAACGACTGGACCTTCAGCGTCGCTATCGGCGTCGTCGTGTGGATCCAGTCTGTTCACAGCTTGGTGTATCAAGTTGGCGACCTGGAGTAAGACACAGAAACACAGACCGAGACACACTTTATCATGCACACCAGGTACTGTTTATTGGTTGCTCTCACGTGAACTACCTGGCAAACTCTATCGTTGCACCCTGTATCCGCATATTCCCTCCCAATTGAATAGGGTTTGTTGCCGAGTATGGAACTATTGCCCCAGAACTCATATAGAGTAAATCTTCAACACCTACCTGCCAGTCCGACGAGCTGCATATGAAGTACTTTCATCCATTGTTAGAAATTTTCGTCTCACACCTACAGCAAGGAGCTTTGAAATGTCGCCTACATGAATAGTTTCGTTGCACACCCAGGAGGCAAAGCAAACGAACAGGGCGAATAAAGGGGCAATTCCCATTTGCAAAGTTTTAACAGCAGAGGTCAGCGAAGTTCGGTATACAATATAGGCATCTTGCACTAGGTGTTGGTTCACAATGAAGGTTTGAGCATTCGCGAGGGAAAAAGCGTTGAAATTGTGTAACGCACATGTGATATTCAGGGTGCACACACTCTTTTTTGTTGAGACGAGCTCTCTCGCAGAAAATCCGTAACTAGTTCTAGGCTTGAGGAGGGTGGAGACGCGAATAAGCGTCAAAAACCGAATGTATCGTAGCGGAACGCTTTACATGTTCTCCATTCCCTGTCGATGTTGCCGAGTCCACGAACGTCGCCGCGGCTGCTTCGAGCAGGGGACACATCGCTCGCAACCCCTTCATGAACTCGTGCTTGCTGAAGCAGCCCTTGCCGTCCGGATCCAAGGATCGCAGGAAAAGCCTGTCGTTGGGTGCGATGGGTGTCAGTCACGAACAGAGCCGTGATTTCGAGGCAGACTGCCGATTTGCTGCGTGTCATGATTCACGCCCCGAGTAACACCGCCTTCGTCGCGCGGTTGCCGCGAGGGAGAGGGTGACCGCTGATCGTTCCAACGTCTGAAGCCAACACGCCCTCGAGTATCGCAACAATGCGTCTCGTCGCAGGCTCTTGAGGGGCGCGTGATCACCTGAATCGGCCTTCTCCTGCCACGGCGCGGTTGTCGCTTCTGTTTCCAAGGCCTTCTTTGCCATCACCACCGCTAGAGAGCTTACCAGCTCCCTTATCTACGCCTCCACGGGTTTCCTCATCCGAAGCGACTTTGTCACTGTCCACAAGCATCCCAGCGGGGTTGTGGTACGCCAAGGCCGCCGCCGGGATGCCTTGCACGACCGCCACCGCCTGAAACCTAGGCCGTCCAAGTATTGAGGTCACATTTGTTCTTAGGGCCATGAGATGCTTGGGATTGAGTGAGCTGGGTCAACTTCTATTTACACTTACTGGTTCAAGTTCGTGACAACAATGAAGATGCTGCAGGATTCTTACTTGAAGTGTCCCGTGTTTGGTATTCCACGTCATTGCTCGACATCAAGCTGAACGTGGCAAGCAGGCAAGCATTTTTTCTCAAGGGCTCGTTGATCACTTTCACCATGCAGTGAATCACGAGGTGGTTGGAAGTCGAAGACACGGCGTGCAGCGAGCACGCCTTCGAGAACAGATGGTCTGGCAAACTCCATCTTTGTCTGCAACGTGCTCACCCAACCTCCCTCAGGCCCGGGGGCGAGAACGCCACCTCGAACGAAACCTCCCCTTGCGCCGGAACCACCGCAAAATCCGGGAAGATCACGAATGGTCCCCTGCCGGGTGCTGTCGCTAAACCCTCCGCCATCTGTGCCGTCTTTCCTGCCGCCAAAGAAGACGACGGTTGGATGCCCCCCGCGGCGACATCCCCCGTTCTCCCTTCATTTCGGGGGGCGCTTGCTCCAGGTTCCCAGTCCGCTCCCTCCCTATCCGCGTAGGCACTGCCCCGTATTTCCGTGACCTCACTGTCTCCAACAGTCCCAAAGATGTCCACAAAGCCACCACCAGCAGGTGTGGCCGACGTCGTCGGCGACGCCGACGGAGGGTCTCCAGACGAAGACGACCTCGAAGTCGCGCTTTTCTTCTTTTGTCCACGTTGTTGCCGCTTCTGCGCGGAGGTGATGTCCGAGGCTTCCCAGCGAATGCCCAGGTCTCCGGTTGTGTAATTGCGCAGCGTGAACCGCCGCCGACACGTGCTGGCCAGAAGCGTGGGCTCGAATAAGAGGTGGCTTATCGCTGCCGGTGATGCCACCACCGCGCTGCCGAGGTCGGCTGCGTTGTCGTTTGGTAGCAGCAGCTGCTGCTGGTCCTGCCATGGTGAAATATCAAACAAGCAGAAGATCGTCGGACAGCCGCCGTTAATCGTACCTGGCTAAAGTGGAGTAATTCAGAGAGGTTTAATCTTCGAGGAGAGCGCGCATGCCTGGATGATAATCGTCCAACGCAGCTAGCGGCATGATGTTGAACGTGTTTGCCGCGCTTTCGATTTAGCTTTCGAGGAAGATGGAGGTTAGGCTTGATAGTGAGGTTTCTTCCCTGGCTTCCTTATACTATCGCCCGGACGGGAACACTTTTCTGCGCCCCTGCGGGCACTTTGAATGTCGTGCGAGATCATCGCTCGCCATCGAGCGCATTCTGACGCGCAAGACCATCTCTTTGCTTTCGTGTGTCTTCGTGTTGATCACTCCAGACCACGAACTCCCGTGACCTTATCCCGAGGGCGACAGGGTTGTGTGGTCCAGCAGCAGAGCAAGAAGTTCGATATGGGCCAACGTCCTACGACTTGTATGTATAGAGGAAAGCCATGTTCGCCTGCAATGTATGTGGTCCGGCGGACGACAGAGCAACAAAACAAATGCAACCAGCAGCACGACAACGAGAAGCTTGCACTGCCATATCCTGCTATGGGTGGAGATGAATAATGCCCGCTGAATACTTTGAATTTGAAAAACGGAATTGCGGGGACTGCGGTGTCACCAAGGTTTTGCTCCTGCTCTTCGAAGACTGCGATATCCCACCGACGACGGGAGAGACGCCATCAACAGAATCGAGGTACAACGAAAACGCCACAACACCGAATCGTTAACGCTCACGTCGATCACCACTATAGCGTGTGATTGATGACCACCGGTCCTTTCCGTGAGACGTTCACCTGACAGTGGCTGGTGGGGCTTGACGCCTCCGACGGCGACTGTAAAGCAGGTACGGGGGTGCCATCGATGCTCGAAATGCGGAGAGAAACCTGTTCACAGAGGGCCTCAACTCGCAAGTCTCTTTCCTCGCAGTTGTCCTATCGGGGTTTGGGGGCGCGGGATTCGCCGGGTGTACGAGAAGTGAAAAACGGCAGGTTGTGGTGCTGACAATAGGTAGCATGACGCGCCAATGATACCAGTTGACTCTTCACTAGCGGTCACAACAGCTCCCCAGATGCCTGCGGGTAAGGCATGAGGCCGAAGTAGAGTGTCATGTTGAACGATGTACTTTCTCCTTGCATTCGGTGCGTGAGGTACTTGCAACGAACGGCTAGCCCACCGAAGTACGCCCGAGACGACAAGAACAACAACAGCATCAAGAACAACAGCAACAGCACACAGCAAAAATCGGCACCTGCACCATGATGAAGCAAGCCTCGTGCACGCCAACCTCTGATGGCAGATACTCGACGTTGATGGAAACTGTTGCTCCCTCGCCTACGCAGTAGTCCGTGGGGAACACACAGAACGGTCCGTGCTGAAGCACCCCAGAACGAATACCCCAGCGAGCACGAACGTTCCGGACAAAGTGAGCATGAGACAATTTTGTTGACTACGGTGCTCCAGCAAAATGCGCTGCTCTTGCCGTCAGACGTAGCGTGTCCTCAATTACATGTCTCGTTGAAAATGGTTGTGGTCGGGGGCAACATAAAAATTCGCTTGCTCCCAAAGGTTCTGCCCCTGTGGCTGGAACCTGGCGTGGGATACACCAACCTGCGACGAAAGTTGTGTTGGAAGTACTCGAGAGGGTAACGGTCAGCCCGAACCGAAAAAAAGCATGACAGCGCACCAAATTTCAAGCGCCTGGTACGCGAACTGGTAGTTGGACAAAGGAGCAGGAAAAATCAACTATTAGCAGCCGATCAGAAAGGCCAAGTCAGCACCAACAGGTATGACAGAACGCACGGACAGTGCTCTCACAACTGCATCGGACAGCAAGAGGTTGAGACAGCAACGTTCACCAGCCTGTTCACTCACCTCTAGGCTGCCGTTGTTGCCGTCCGGATTGAAGCTCGAGTCATCAAAATCGGCCTTTCGATCGTCGCCATTATCATGACCACCGTTTCCATCAAAATGAATCCCACCATTGGCTCGACTGATTGCGTCAGGTGCTGTTGCTGTGGGTAATTTCGACGACCCGAAGGTCTCGTCGCAATCAGTTCTTATCCGCAAGACGCTCCTATCCAAACGGGTGGCCCCGCCTCCCTGAAGCTCACTCCCATTCCCGCCATGGTGCCCGGCGTGATGCCCGTCATCTGCCGCCACGGCTGCCGCCGTCGCCTCCCCCCGGCTCTCTCCATTCTGATGCACATCAGCAGCGGCGGCCGGTTTTTCCGAGGGGCGCCGCGGAAGGAGTCGGAAACGGACGGGCCCTCCGGTGTTCTTTACGCGGAACCGCAGTGTCCGGCCTTCTCCCAGAAGGCAGCCCCCGCAGTGGAGGAGACCCGAGGGCGGCAACGACAGGCACGGCCGTCTCCGGTGGGCGAAAATTGGAACCTGTTCAACATGAAAAAAAATGATCCATACGTACGCAGGTTCTGACATTCATTCACCTATTGGGCACGCTTAGTGCACGCCAAGAAGATCGTACTCGAAATTTGTTCTAAGTTGCTCGGCGACCGGGTGTATCCGTAACACTGACTTGTCTCCCGAGTCTATCTTGATCGATGCCGTCATGCGCGAGTCAACGCCCCAGGGACAATCCTGGGCTGATCATCCCTTTCAGAAAACTTCCAACATTTGTGATACGGAACTACGAGGGGAAGGCCGGATTTGCTTCAAGGTTCCCCCACCTCGAAAGTGCCGATCTCCGTTACGACAGATATCACGTCGTGGTACTCTCCGAGGCTGTCGGGGACGAAGTCCACAAGAACTGTCGCCCTGACCCCAGGGGCGATTTCTCCGGTCCCCGTAACGACGCCAGACGCCGAGTCAATCTCTGAAGAGGGAAACATCACCTGTCACAAACAACATTGGGTGAAACGATAATAAAGCGTGCCCGGAGAGAGCAAAAATGAAAACGTTCCTCCGACAAGCATGTCTACAGCTTGCTTCTGTGCCTAGGGACGTGAGCAAAGCATATCATCTTGCGGGGTATGAGATGCCAAGGAAGTCTCGGCACGAAAGACTTGCGTGCTTGCCGCATGTTCACGGGCACTGTTTCCCTGCTTCGTTTTTCTTATCTGTTGATTGTCCTACAGACCTGTCGTCAATGAAAGGAAAAGCGGTAAACTCTACCAGAAATACCGTCGGGCATACCTTGGCCAAGCTGAAGTACTTCGTGGAGGGTGGGAGGAGCATGAAGCTCCGCTTGAGGCACGATATGTTGCGCAGCACGAGCTCCGCCCTGACATACACAGACAGAACCGGGGCCGTTGTAAGAAGATATTACAAGGATTGCAAGAGAACCTCGTAGACCCTTGCTGAGGTGATCGGGTTGGTTGGGTATCTGTTTGGTAGGATAACCACATGCTTCTGCACGAATCGAATTCTTACCAGAGGATACACAGTGTGACCGCTGGCGGAGTTCCGCATGTATGGTATTGCTGTGGAAATAGGTGCCAGTACAAAGAACCATCCAGAAATGCTTCGCATTGTTGATGTGTAACAGTTCACCGCCGTGTATGTGGGGCTAGGTGTGGGTTCGGAAAAAGCAGACAAACGAACTGTTGTGGCGAAATGAAAGCGTAAATGCATGGTCTCATCGTGCTCTGGAGGAATTGGAAGCGTGCACGAGCGTTCTTTCTTGTTGCCACATACGAGTTTGCCCGTAAATCATCCCGCATGACACCCGACCACACAGCACCATATTCAAAAGGATGATTCGCTGTTTCCATGCTGCTATCGACGCTCGCAAAAAAACATCGGCGCGTTTGTGTCAAGCACAGCAGTTCCATCGGTAGGTGTACGTACCTGAACGTTTGCCCCACCCAGTAATCGCAGTACTCCACAACCGACGGGCTGGCCAAGAAGTACCCGTTCTCTCCGTCTATATCCCCAGGCGGTGGTATCGACGCCAAGAGCTTGGTTGTAGTCAAAGCTTTGTTCCTGGTCTTCAACCTGGCACCTGACGTTGTACAAGTCAGCGCGACGGCACGAATGCCTTCAAATACATGCCATATGGCGTCCCCAAAACTGAAAAATGAATATGTCCGAAACACGCCTTTAATTGTGAAAAGGAAACGAGCGAAAAGAGCAGAAAATGCCATATACCCTCGGTGCACCCCAGGAAACGCGATAGGGGAAAATGGATATGTCGATCTTTACGGGAAAACATTTGCTGGGAGAGGTGGGACCATGCTGCGTCCCCAAAACTGAAAACTAGGGAACATCGAAGATGAAAGCAAAACCCACCCACCCGCAATCCTTTGTTTTAGCTGGACAAGCGACAAAAGGAGACATGGTTGTGCTCAGCATGAGCCACACTTTCTCGTACGAAGAGCTAAGCTCGACCTTCTGTGTGAGACTAGGCGTTGCTTTCTTTTCATGTTCTATCATCGCTGAGTCCCCAAGATTGTTACTGACACCCATGTACTCCTACCACAGAAACCAGGTGTGACGCCCGAAGTGCTTCTGACCATATGAACAGTGCGGTATGACGAGTCCCACACTACAGCAGCGCAACACAAGTGAATCGGGTTAACCGGATAATGGGTCAACCGGTTTAACCAACTCCGGCTCACCAGTAACGACCAAGAACAAATGCATAATGTGATTGCTTCCATTTGGAAGCCGCGCCACAACCAATGACGCAGGCGTCGAGAAAAACACTTTTTCGTGTCACGTCCTTGAAAACATACCAGGTTCGGGACGCCATGCCCTCGTACATTCAGGTGTCACTTACCCAAGATGAAACGATGGTCGTAGTTACACCTGACCAAAACACCTTATCAATGTTTCGTGTCAGAGGAGGGGAGATTCGGAGAAGGAAAAGGCAACAGCGGCACGTGCTCTGAGTTCGGAATGCCTCGGAACCGGTTCCGAGTACTCACCGCTGCTGCCGCGTTCTGGTACGCCGTGGCCTGTACAAGCTGTTGCTGGCGCTGTTGGGGCCGTCTTAACAGTCAACATCTGCGGAGTTGCAAGTGTATTGATATCAGGATTTGCTAGTGAGGCTGCTACTGCTGGAGGGTAATAGTAGGGCATGCCACCACTCTATCTGTCTGCTGTGTTGCAGTTATTGTAGGTGTAGTTAGTAGCGGCTGGGGTGGCGATCTATGCAGGTGCTGGTATGGAATCCTTCGATGTTGCTGTACACGCCATTCATTTGTCCAGGTTCTATCGAGAAACGTAGAGCCCTATTCGGACGTCCTATGGAGCCCAATCGACACGGCGGCGAACTCTGCGGGCCGTGGATCTGGCGACGAAAACAAACCCAACAGCGTTCGTATCATATTCCGCACCTGTTCGTGCCAACGGCTATCCGGGTCGTAGCGGGGGTTCCTTCGGAAGCGCAACTTCCTCTGTATTCGGGTCATCACGGCGGCGTCGGCGTCTCTCTGGGCCCCTTTCACGATAACCTTGCTGCTGTACGCGGGAGAGATTGAGAACCAAAGCAGCAGTGCATTTGGCAAGAAATACAAGGCCCCAAGTGTTCAGACATCGGTTCGACGAAAGGAAACCCGTGAGGGAGCCTTCTGCCGCATTGTCCCCCAGCTCGGACGCGTTATCAGCAAACGTGCGCCAACAGCTGGTCACACCGCACGCTAGGATAGCCAACGCCCACCGATGGGTTATTACGGGTTTCCATTCGGCACGGCATGTAGCCCCAACTATGGTTGTGCTTTGCTTGAACTGCAAATCCTTTCACAGGTCACAGTATTCGAACAAATGCACAATAAATGTTGATCACACGCCTATCAACTATCCAGTGGCTCAATGTGGATGATAGGGTATCGTCATTGGGTATGCCGCCAACACAGCGTTGTCGCCGCAGTCTTTCAGAACCGGCGCTTCCCCCACACCCGCCGTGGTTTCTGTTTTATAGTCGCCGTGGCCAATAGAGAACTACCGCCACCAATCCCCATCGGCACGTAACCACCTCTGAGCTACAGAGTCTAGAGTGTCGCACGCCGTCAGCAACACACCGTGATGGTGCCCGTTGTGCCGCATCATCCGCACTGTTATGGTCCGTAGTGTCATCGTCCAAAACGCCTCCATCTTTCCAAACTCCCGCGGCCGTTGCGGCTCCCTCCTCTTCGCCGGCCAGAAAGAAACAACAATAGACGATGCATTTTTGCGGTTCCGCCTACAGTCGTGTTGTATCCGCAGCAACTATTTCCTTTTCATGATCGAGTAGCCATCATTCGTGGCCAGTATCCCGTGACGGAGTGAGCAATGTAGTAGCTCCCGCGGAACTTTCCGAGTGATCAGATTGCCTCATACCCTTCTCCATCCTCCACCGTCACGTGAACGTTTCAAATTGAATTTCGCTAGGTGATTATTTACTGTCTACGGCGCGCAGAAGGAACAGTAGGGGGGTGCGGCTACCACCAATGAGTGATGGTCTTACCTGTGACAATGGTGTCGCCGGACATAGCTCGCTCCACATCACGTTGCGCCTCGAGCTGCAACTGCTGCTGGATACCTCTCTCCCCACGGCGGCCGAAGCTTCTCTTGAGGGTCAGAGCCTCCCTGGTCGTATCGATACATGAAAAGATAATTGTCGACCATTCACAACGGCTTCCTTCCAAAAATTGGACTGACGGGCAGCTTTGAGGGCAGCATGTACACAGTTGTACTGTCTAAGAAAAATGTTTCGATGTGTCTGAACACGTCCCTGACCTCTATTCTCAGCAAAACTCACATCGTTCATAAGCACCTTGGACATCAGGCGCCCTACACCACAGTGCAATGCTCACCTGGTGACATTCGTTGTGGTGTGCTTCAGGTATCCAGGAGGCTCAAAACGGGCGTCACCTCCTTCCCCATCCGGTTTCGTTTGAGAAAACCTGTACATACGGCATTCGGCAGGCGCAGGCCAGGGAAAAAAGCAACGTTAGAACAGGTGGCATACGCATTCAAACTTCATACCAGTGCGCCGGCAGAAGGGGTCTGGATGTGCCAATTGTGTCTGTGCCACACGTTTCACTCACTCGTTCCACGGAAGGTTTCCAGAGTGGCGAAGACCAGCCACTCGGTTTGCCCGAGCAAGTTCCGCCGCATCCAGTAGAGAAATGGCGAACCCTCCGAAGGTACCGATCGTGGAACGGTCCAGAACCAGTCCGCTGGGACCCATCGGGATGTGTACCCCGATAAGAATCCCTTGCCTCTTTAGAACTTCTATCTCCTCCCTGGTGGTACCACGTTGGACAGGGAGGTGTGCGTATGATGGGCAGAAGATACGTTGATTCAAAGCAATCAATAGCACAAAATGGGCGACTGGTGCTATCCATACGCGATGATGAAGGGGAGGAGCAAGGTTGAGGGCGTTGCTGTGTGAAACAGTCGGAATCGCTAGGAACTATTGCTTCAGGTTGTCGCCGTTGAAAGAATTCAGCCGAAAATATTGACCCCAACAAGAACGCCAACAAATTCTACGACCAAGCATAGATTCAAGAACGGGCGCAAGAAAAAACAGGACTTTCGTGCAGATTTTGTTGCGGTAATGTCCACCGGTGGTAGGAAGCTTTCCAACGTAGTTTACGATGCTTGTTCTCTCACTGAGCAGGGTGAGGAATACCTAGGGGTTGATGCGTGACAACAAGGTGACCATAATCAGTCTCAAAATGCAAGGTTACCGAGAAAGGCTGAACACTGTGATGACCAAAATTCTAACAACTTCAACACCAACAGGAAAAGGTGCCGTACTCGTGCTGTTATTGATGCTCAACACCTGTCATGTTCCCTCGCTGCTACCCTCTGCCGCATTGTGAATGTCTTCAGCCCCTTGGCCAGCTCTTGGCGGTCTTCCAAGGCAGCTTCAATCAGCGCAAACCTTGTTACAGATATGATAATGAGGTCGGAATGGCGGAGCACATGGATATTCACGTTCATATGACATGGGCATTGGCTTCCAATTGGAGCCCGAAGCGACCATGTTACAAGAACACTACTGAATACTACGTTAGGTAAATTTCGCATCATTGACACCTGTGGCGCACGGGGGTTTTGAATGACAGAAAGCCGTCATTGCGTCGCCCCGCTTGGTGTTGAAGATCAAATATATATATCGATACCAACGCGTTTCTAATTGTCTTCGTGATAACGATCAAAACGCTACCATCAAGTCATCGGCGGCGAGTTAATAACAATAAAACTGGGTTGCGGCACCAATCATCCCTCAGTTATCCCCAAGTTATCCCCAGCAAAATTGGCACCCGAAACGCTTCGGCGCAAAACCCCTTACTCGTCGTGCGTTCCGAAAGAACACCAACCTCTCTTCGATTGCTGCCGTGTCTTCGGCTGTTCCGCCCTCTTCCAGTTTTCTACCACCTGGAGACGTGTTTCGTTGAAAATTTTGAAACGCCATCTCCCCATCGCTTGTCATGGCCAGTTCCCCCTCATCAGCACCTGGTGGTGGCAAGGGCCAGACTTCAGCAAGACCGATTCATTCATTGCCACAGGATGCCTTTGTCATAAGAACGAGCTCCCGCGAATCCCGTTCAGAAAGAGCACTCAAAATTTGAACCCAATCCTTTTGAGGCACGCCCGCAGCGCTACTTTTATATTGCTCGTCCTGTTTTAAAAACTGAAATACAAGTATGGTACTGTTGTACCATTCCGTAATCCTTCCACTACCTAAACAATACCGAGCTAGTTGCGTCAGAGTCTATTGGCTCACCCTCGTTAGTTTCCGCAACCTCTTCCCCCGCTGAGGCATCAATCGCCACCGCGTCGCTGGAGTCCCCTTTAGCCGCCCCGGCACCCTCAACGTTGTTCGATGATAAACGGGGTTTTGGCTTGCTGTTTGGATCTTGCGCTTCTCCGCCATCAGGAGAGGTTTTCGGGTCTGGTGTGGACATGGGAGATGACCGATGTAACTCAGTTTGTTTGACGCTTTGTTTGCCAGCATGGTCGCAACATCGTCGGGGGGAGGTATAGGACGTAGGAGAATCTGTCGTGTTCCTGCCAGTGCAGGGGCATATGCGACGTCGGCTGTCTATCTGGCAAAGCACATTGGATAGACGTGTAGGAAAATTACTACAAGTAGCGGTACGGCGTTTGTTTCGTCATTTGACATCGACACGGCAACCCGTGCCAATATCTGGGCTACATGCCGGGGCAGTGCCGCCAAAGAGTAGGCGGGCACTACTGCTGTGCCAAACACCATTTGGAACACAACATTGAGCCCATACGCTACTTTTTGGGTTGGACCTTTTCCATGCATGATGTGGCCATCTCCGCTAGTCTACGAATGACACTGTACAGCAGCCCAGAAGAGTTCAAAGTCCGCCGAACATGTACTACATCTAGATCTATTGTGCACGGCTTCATCACCTCCACCGTTCGCCGCAGATTCCATCGCTACCGACGAAGGCCTCCTTGACTCTGAATCTGATCCATTCGCCGGTGTGCCTTGCCGTCCATTTCCTTCCTCCGCAGCTTCATCTTCAGTCTCATCGTTGTCACTCCCACCATCATAGAGTTCCTTGAACGCAGTCTTGAGGATGTGGTGGATGGACCCTACCGCAGCCTCCTCGTCAAGCTGATCCTGACCGATAGCGGGAAATGGATCTGGATTTTTCCCTTCTCCTCCACTCCGGATACCGAGAGGGACGCCGTGGCTCTCCTCGCCACCATGAGATTGTCGAGAGCTCAGGTTGACACGCGAGAGGGCTGCTGAGTTGTCAATTTGGTCGTCGACGACCGTCGTCTCGATCTTCGGCTCGGTCTCAACGACGACCGGCTGCTGCTTTTTGGCTTTGCTGGCTGCCACCATCTGTCGGAGTAGACGTTCATGCGTATACACACATGCTCGCGGGGGAAACAATATTTATGTCGCAGTGGGGTGTTGTACAACCCTCGCGCGATGCGTGCATGCGTCTCAGTCACGCGGCATGATTCATGTGTAACGCTCCCATTCGCGCTCGGGAAGACCCGGGGACTCGAACGGGAATGGGAACCCTCATCAATGGTTCTGTTTCCCGAACAGTATCGGAAGGTCGCTTCTCACTTGTGCGTGCTCACGGGTGGTCCGTACATCGAGGGCATAGGAGTGGACCTCACGACTTTGTCGAGAAAGTAAACTTATAGGAATATTC